TTTGTTATTTGTGAGTCAGTGAAATTGGTTTTAAGAATTGCTTCGAAGAAACGAGAGTCTAAATATGTTTTATTCCATGATGATCTTTAAAAGCTTAAATCCAAAACTTAATTGACAATTATTATTTAGTATTATTTTATTTGAACAAAAAAGTAAAACAAATAAGAAAATAAAAACCAAATAAAATTTAAATAAGATAAAAATGTTTTTTTTTATTCAACCATTTTAATAAATTCTTTTATAGCACGAATGAATTTTCTAATATCACCAATTGTTGTTGGATATCCAATAGACACTCTAACAGCACCGTATTGTTTTCCTTCTAATGTAGTATCAACTGGAGTGTTTGGATTAGTAACAGCAGCTGCTGCAAGGCTAGTAACGTTTAATGAATTTAAACAACTTCCTGGATTACAAGTACATCCAACTCTAACATGAATATTCTTTTTTGCTAAGAATTCATTTATTGTTAATAATGGAACATGTTTAGGGAATATACCATTATATTTATATTTACTATTTAAAATATTAAATGTAACAATAGGACCTTGATTTTCATAAGTAGAATGGTTATGATTTCCATAAATTTCTATTGCCTTAGTACCATTAGAATATGTTAATTTATTTAGCTCAGTAAATAATACACGAGTAAGAGCATATGTGTGTTTATGAATAATATCAATATTTGGGAAATGATTAAAAGCATGTTTTAGTCCAAGAATTCCAAGGAAATTTAATGTTCCAGCTTCATATTTTGGAGGTAAATAATCTGGGAATACTTTCCAATCTCTATCAGCAGCAGCCATAACTACAGTTCCTCCACCAAAATAAGAAATTTTTAATTCTTTAGCAACTTCTTTTTTAATAATTAAACATCCTACTCCTGTTGGGAATCCAAACATCTTATAAAAACTAATTGAGACAAAGTCTGGATGGTATTTAGTTAAATCAAGTTTTGCACTTGGAACTAAAGCAGCAGCATCTAATAATACATGGAATTTATGTTTATTATTTGATAATGAATTAATTTTACAAATCCAATCTAATGGGAATTTAGCTCCATTAAAATTATCTTCTCCTGGGAAAGCAATTAAATGATGAGTAACGTTAGTTGTTTGTAATTTATTTAATTTGTCTAACACACTTTTCCATTGTTGTTCTGGGTCTTCTTCTGTGAAATATCCCCAAGTAGCATTAGCATGACTAGCATATTCTCTAATTCCTAACACACTATTATGATTTTGTAAGAGATATAAAAAAACACTTGCTGGAGTAAATGGGAAATTTTCCCCAACAATTTTTAATGCTTCAGTAGCACCACTAGTAAATATAACATCATATTCTTTTGGATTTGCATTGAAATATTTTAATATTCTTTTTCTCATTTGTTTAACTACAGTGTCTGTATTTATTGATGATGGAGAAATACTATGAGCATTGCCATATAATTTTTTTGAAACGTCATAATAGAAATCTTTTAATTGAGATACTTGATGAAGTCCACTGGCTGTATAATCAAGATAAACATTATTTTCAAGATATGGGAATTCTCTTCTAATTCTTTTTACACCATTCCAATAACCAAGTTCAGTTAAAGAAATTGCAGAACAAAAGGTAATGAATAATAATAACATCGACAATATAAGTTTTTTAAGTTCATTTTTTATTTTTATTTTTTTTCAGAGTATTGATATTAATAGTTTTACTTTAATAAAATTAATAAAAAATTAATTAATCCGAATAATCTTAAAATTAAAAATTTTTAAATGAAAATTAAAGTTCTAACTCATTACTTCTTCGTTGTGATGGTATAAACCAATCTAATATTGTAGGTCCCATAGTTTCTTTAATATTATTAAATACACCTCTATCATAAGATGGAATATTTTCAAAAACAAGATCTCGTTTTCCTTTATTAATTTTCAATAATCTGGCAATTTCAATAGACTCCATAGAAGTCTCGTTGTGCATAATCGATATAAGATAATTTATTAACAACACCAACATCCCTGCAAATAAAGCTAATCCAATTGCCATTCCTACGGCTGATGGAACAATTAATGTAATTATTGACCAATTAAATGATCCATGTAATAAGTCATAATGTATAACAGCATGAAAGATAGAAAATCCATTTATAATTGAAGAAAGCAATAATGCTGAAGATGCGTAAAATATAAATTGAACAAAGAATTTCATATTATTTTTTCCAATACAATTTGACACCCATGGACAATGATGATCTCGTTTTTCAATACAATAACCACATTTTTTACAATGATAAGATCGTGGTGGTCTAAATTTTTCACATTTACTACACCACCTAACACGATAACAAATATCACAAGTTTTACAACCACTACGATTTCCTTTTTTCACTCTTTCAATAGCTTCATTTAATTCTTGTTGTGAAGCAACAGGGATATAATTTTGTACAATACCAGGAGATGTATGTATAACTTTATAATGACAATATGTTAATAAAATGAAGAGCAATAACCCAATCATATCTCCGATAGTAATTATCAAATTGTTTCCAAAATATGTTTGTACTGTTCCTATCGTAGTTAGTACAAATACTCCATACATTAATACTTTTGATACAACTATATATACAGCGTCTGGAGCTTCAACTTCTTCAATGTCATATCCTTCAGGACATTTAGGTTTAGGATTTGGATAATAATAATCAATGTTCTCTATCATTATTATCTGTTTATCCTTTTGAAGTTACTTTCTCTTTTTTCTCTTTAGAAACTTCTTTTTTGTTAAAAATTGTTTTGACGTTTGATCTTCAAAAGATTGAATCTCATAATTTTTAATCAATTAATATGAAGTTGATCACACCCTGTGAAACAACCCGCACCTAATGTACATATGTCATAAGGAAGATTCATTTCCTTCAATGAAGGACAATCCTCAAAACAATAATCGCCAATGTATCGCAGCTCATTGGGACATTCTACTTTTGTTAAAGAAGAGCATTCACAAAAACAGTACTTTGGAAGAACTAATATACCAGAGGGAATATTGATACTCATTAATTGAATGCATCCATAGAAACATTCATTGTTTATTAATGTTAATGTAGTTGGTAATTGAATTGAATTTAAATGAATACAATTTTTAAAGGCACTTATCCCAATTGACTCTACGGAATCAAATTGAATTGAAGATAAAGAAAGGCACTCTTCAAAACTACTATCTCCAATTTTAGTGACTGTACTTGGTATACGAATGGATGATAACATGGAACAATTAATAAAACAATCATTTGGTATTGAAGTGATTTGAGTAGATAATTTGACTTCTTGTAAACTTGTACAGGATTCAAAACAACCTCCCCCTAAAAATGTTATTGAATTTGGGAGATATAAACTTGTTAAATGCTTACACTCACTAAAACAACCATCTCCTATTGATTTTAATGTAGATGGTAATTTAACTTGTTCCAGAGATTTACACCCATTAAAACAGTCATCCCCAATCTTTTGTAACCCTGTTGGAAAATAAATTGTATGAAGATATTTACATCCACTGAAACAATTATCTCCTATAGACGTTAAAGAGGTTGACAATATCACACGTTCCAAATTTGTACATTCAATACAACAACAATTACCAAGAGTATTTACAGTTTGAGGTAGAACTAATTCTGTTAGTTGTTCATTATTTTCATAACAAGACTCATCTAGTTTTTTAATTGATAAATCTCTTGGTATTTCTTCCCCATATTGATCGACATCATCATATGTGTAAATTACATTAGTACAAGTAACCATTTTTTCTTTTAGCCGTATAGCAGTAGAATAAGGTAACTCATAACAAAAAACAAAATAGTGAATATCTGGAAGTAATTTATCTTTATCTGAATATAAAAATTGAATTTGGATATTAGGAAACAATCTTGTTGATGAGATAGGATTAAATATGAATGATTCTAATACTTCTTGATATGACGAACGTATTTGAATAAATTTAATAAAATCTTCCTCATTATGAAAATAACGAGAGATTGCAACCAATTCATTTATTCCAAAATGACTTTCTGTTTGTTTAATACTTTCATCGTCTGAACATTCATCATCAATGAATTGTGGATGAGTTGTTTCCATATTTTCAAAGAATTTTATTTTCAGTTTTCATTTTTATTTGTTTAAAATTGTAAAAGCAGTTTGAATTTACTAAAATTATCAAGATATTAAAGGTTATTTTAATAATATTTTATTCAAGAAATATCAATTTAGAATATATAAATATTTTAAATAATATTTTATTATATTTTATGGTTCTAATTCAAACCAAAAATCACAAAAAATAATAACAAACATCTTTTATATTTTTTTCTCAATAATTTAACCGAATTAACAAAATGTTTATGGATAACTGAAATTTGAAATAATATAAAATACATTTGTAATATTGTTTATAAAAGAATTACAAACAAAATAAAATTTATTATATTAAATTCTTAAAAAGATTTTTTTTTATAATATTAGTTGTTTTGGAATTTTTTATCATTGTAACGTTTAAAATATACTTATAACTTTGATGTCCATTAAAAGCTATCACTTTTTTTAAACACTTTATTTGTTAGATTTTTGTGTTACATTTAGGTGTTATTTTACTTCATACCTATTTTGAAATTAAAGCTTGGAGAATAAAAGAATGAATTTACCAATTCATTTAATAACAAAAATAATAAAAACAATTCACCAGATAATTAAAGGATTTATTTCAATTCAATTAGATACAAAATACACAAATTTTTGAAGTAATTTATTATTCTTCTTCTTCTAAAAAAGAAATAAATAAGGAAGAAATAACATTATATTATATCAAATAATTTCTCTATTCAATCAGATATTAACTATTATTTTTCTAACAAATTATTGTATTTTATAAGTTCAATTATTAATTGAAATATTAAAAACGAAGAACATTAGAATTACATTAAAAGATATTGATAAAAATGATAAAATCTAAAAATAACTGTTCACTTAGTTTTGAAAATTATTTTCATTTTCATCTGGTGGTAATTCAACAAATTTAATATTCCAAGGAGAATATTTAGTAAGTATTTCAGCTTCAAGAACACCATCTTCAGTCATATAAAGAAGATTTGGTTTCCAAACAATAACCATTTTTGGGTCAATTGTTTTGTACCAAAATCTACAACAAATTTGAATTTTTGGATTTGATTTAATACTTTTTATTAAATTTAGTTGGTCAATTTCTTCTTTTCTTTTACAAATAATTATCATTTTATCAATATGAAATTCATTAAATGAATTAAATATTGTTGGTTCAATATCAGCAGCCATTTTAAATGTAATTATTAAAGTTTTAATTTTTAATTGTTTACTAATTATTTTATGTAATTCTACTCTGTATATGTCATATATTATCAAATGTAAATATTCAAATTCTTTAAATGGGTCTAATGAAATTATTTGATTTCTATCTTCAACACAAGTTAAAACATATTTAATAGTTACTCTTTTTATTGGTTTTATCATATTATTTTTAATAAAAAAATTTATTACTTTTGCTGTAACAGGAGGAAGAATTATAGGTGTCATAAGTGTTGGTAATAATTGCATTGTTGTTTTTGTAAGTAATGTAATTTTTCTATTCTTAAATAATGATAATTCTTGAGTAAATCTTTTTTCTATCACTTCTTCATTTTCTTCACTTTCTTCATTTAATTGAGCTTTAATTTCTTCTGGTATTTGAACTGTTAATATATATCCCACATTCTTGTCATGTAAACCAAATGACTGTTGAGTTTTTTTACTAACCATATAATAATTCCTTGCAGTAAAAATATCTTCAAGAAATGGAATTAATGTAGTTAATTCCTCAATGGATAGACGGCTCATTGAAGTAATTAATATATACAAATATAGTCTTTTTAGTTCTTATTATTTTTCGTTTTTTCAAAAAGTAATTCATTAAAAAAAAGATAAACTTTTTTATTGACAACAATTAATTAATTTGTCAACGTCTCAATTAGTTTGAAAAACATTTTTTTATTAAAGAAAAGAAATGAAAAAAGTCTTTATAATCAACCAAAGTTACAGTACTAAGAAAATGTGCTTTTTCTTCTAGAAAAGACCATATATCGAATTTGTTTATCTGGTGTATCATCACTAACTTGTCTTTGTAAAGATGTATTTGTAACACCTGAAGTAGAGCGATTGACATTTTTTCCGTTTTTAATTGGGTTATTTGTGGGAGTTGTATCAAATGCTGATACATGAGTATCATAATTAGGGCTTATATTATCTCCCTTTCTCTTTCCACCAACTTCTTCATCAGATAATTCAGACATTCTTCTTTTTTGAGCAGCAAGAGAAAATTTTTTTACAAAAGATGACCTAAGAATTGGTCCCACAGAACAGACACTCATTTTCGTTAGTGTATGTGTTTTAAGATATTGAGAAAATATTTCAAACACTTCACTTGCTCTATTTGAATTAAATAATTCAGGAGACGTTTCCAGTCTTAACCCTTGAAGATAATTTTGTGCATCGTCAATAATTTCTGCATTTCCTTCTTCACTAGCTAGTAATTCAAAGATACTAGAAATAAGTGATGATATAATTCCAGCATTTGAACTACAAACATATTTACGCACAATGATTGGAACTATTTGATTTCTTATTATCGATATATCAGATACTCCACTCTCCTTTTCTAGTATTCTCTTTAAACAATGAAGAATTGCTGTTTCTAACACTTCATTAGAACAGTTTATCCAAGTTTTCACAACTTGAATAAACTTACTTTCTGTTTCAAAGTACATTTCACAATATTCAGAATGATAAATAAATAAATATCCAATGACTTCAAATAATTGAGTCACTAAAGAATCAAAATTATTAATTCCTCTTTCTCTTTTTACTCGCTCTCTTAATTTAGGTGTTACAACTGAAGGAAAGAATTGTAATGGACTAGCTAATATTGGTACTAACTGTCCATAAATTAATGAATAATTGATTCTTTTTTCTTCTATTGAAAAATCAGATGAGTCACATCTTAAAAAATAAATAATATGATGAGACATACTCAATATTAATGAACGATGATCTTCCTTGACAAATTGACTACAAATAACAACAATAGGAATTACATCTTCTCCATTAATTGAAATAGATGAATATATAGCACGAGTACATTCAAAAGAATCCATCACAAACATGTCAGTTAATAAATCTACTGATTTAGATCTTATGAGATAGTTAGAGTTAGAATATCCTTGAATTGTAACAGAAAATATATTCATCCTTTTAATTTCATCAAACGTTAATTTAGTATTTTCTACAGAAGAATTCCCAGAACCACTATAAATTTTTAATATTGAAGAAAAGAATGATAACACTTGACTTTTTATTTCTGAATTTCCATCTTCAAAAGCTTGTTTAATATCGTTCATAAAAGAATAATTATCTTTCATTAGTTTTACAACACTGAGTCGAGTATTATTAATATACCAAGTAAAATATCTTGAAGAAGCTTCATCTAAGAATCTTGCAACAACAACATCTCTTAAATAATTAAGTTTAACTATATACTTTAATTTTTTAATAACAGCTGGAGGATAAAGAATAATTTGTCTAATTTGTACTTTTTCACTGTCTTCCCAGAAATTAATTTGTTGTTCAAAATTAGGATCTCTTTGATAAATGTCAAATAATTCATATAATGTTTCTTCTTTGAGTAGATGGTCATACACACATTCATTATTAATAGAAAAACACGCTCTATAAATATCTAATATTGTTTGAATTCTTTGTTTTTTTTCAAGAAAAGCTTCAACATATCTTCTACATTCATCTCCATTTTGTTTAAGTCGTTCATACATTTGGGACTCTTCATTATCTCTTTTTGTTTGACCAACTTGTTCAGTATTAATTTTTTTTTTGAATAACCTAACGTTTTCTTTAATATTTTCTAAAGTTTGTCTATCACTAATATATTTCTCAATTGATACATCAATATTCAAAAGTTTCAAATATTCTTTATATGTACATTTAAATAATGAGTTGTTTTGATCAAACAAAGAAAGAAATTGTTGTGTAATGGGATGATTATCAATTGCCATAACAGCAAATCCTCTAAGATTTTCAAAAAGCTCTTTTGTTGGTTGAGAGAAATTATACGTATATCCTTCAGGATCTGTTACATTTGATTTCAAAGTACTTAACTCACTTGTCTGATTCGTTTCATCTTCTGCAATACGTGAAAATGATCGAAGTTTAGAAACAAATAATTGGAATGATGCATTCTCAGAACTACATAAAACAAGTTCTTGATGGTTTTGTAAATAAGGTATATTAGGACTATAACTTACATTAGAAATTTTAATATAGCCTTCGTTTAAACTTTCTTGCATAATGGAATTAGAATTAAATGAAAAACTATAAGTCGCATTCCTAAGAAAATCTTTAATAGTAACTATGATCGACACCATAGAATCTTCATTATATTGTATTATTCCAGAACATATATCTAACAACCCATTTGGTTGATTTTGATCTACCCAACTAGCTAAAATAGACATTTGCTTTTGGGGGTTCTCAACACTTAAACGAAACGCCTTTGCCTCTTCCTTTTGTTGAATTTCTTCCATTTTTGTTATTGGCAAAACTGGGTCTGGTGGTGGTCTATTAAATTTAATCCCTTTTAATACACTGTGTGTTTCATTTGATCCCCTTCCTATGTTTGGTTGGTCATTCCATTCTAACGAAGATAAATTTGACGACTTTCCTACAATCGTCTTACGGTGGTTCATCCGTTCTTTCTAATTTTAAGTTCTAGATCTAGCCAGTCAAACCCCGCTTGATGCCTCAACCACAACATATTATTGAATCATTAAATATTCTCAACGACAGTAGTAAGTCATTAGACCAAATAAATGGAGGAATTATTCATTTAGTTTCTAGATCTGATCTTTTTGGGTTGTTAACTTCATTATCAATATTACTTGATTCACAAGTATTAAGTCAACCACAAGCCCTTTCTCTTTGTTATGTGTTATCAAAACACTCTCCAATAACATCAAATCCTTTCTTCAAGGTATTACGTAAAGAATATTTAAAGGCTGATGGCTTTGAAAAAAATTTTATTGCAACACTTTTTGTGAATTGTTGTCCATCTGAGGTTTGCCTCTTCTAAACTATATTTTATAATATTTTTTATTTACAATAATAGAAATCAATTAGTGAAATTCTTGCTAATAATAAACTCCCAAGTACTTCATTTGATTTAGATTCATTAACAACTGAATATCAAAAAAATGTTCCATATGACATTCCTTCAGTTCAACCTTTGTTCAGTGATCCTGATGATTCAACAAATAGAGAACGTGATATTGCTAAAATTTTTGAAACTCCATTACCTGGACCAATTATTCCACCTCAAAACACACCCGCTCCTTTATTGTTAATGCCAGGACATGATGAACTTACTTTTCTTATTCCTGAAATTGATTTTTCCCCATTATTTGATCCAACACAAATATCTGCTGAAACACTAACACTTCTTAAAAGAGCTGTGACAGAAAGACTTAATGATGATGACAAAGACCAACTTATGGAACTTCTTGAAGAAGAAAATATTGCAAAATTCTTTGCTCCACAACAAATTGAAAGTCTTATTGAGAACAATAAAGATATTGCAATTGAAGTATTAAAGAAAGTCATAAACAGTGAAAATGAAAAGGCATATGTTGACACATTATCTTCTATAGAACCTAAACTAAATGTTATTAGTACTGTAAAGGAATTATTACTAAAATCTTCAAATGTCTTTTCTTCTTTTACTCAAAAAGTTATTGATTTCTCAATTAAAGAAAAAGAACCAAATAAGAGATACATTCGTTGTGTCACAGATTATTTAGAGACATATGTACGTGTCAATCAAAAATTATCTGAACCAGTTTATCAAAGTATAGTTACTTTTTGTGGCAAATTCAGTACCATCAAAGAAGTTTCTAATCTCTACAAATTATTAATGAAATAACAATTTTTATTTTTATATTGTGTTATTTTTAATTATAAAAATAGAATATGAAATAGGGTTAAAACAAATAAATAGTAAAAAAAATTAAAAATTAATAATTTTTAACAATGATATAATAAAATAAAAATCCACAATTATTTATTTGATATTCAATATCAACAATGAAACAGTTTAAAAATAATAATATTAGTCGAGTGACGATAAACCACAGACCTGTTCTGACCTTAATGGAGATAACAGTGCTGGCTCCAATTAGCGCTGGGGCTCTGACGACTTTTTAAAAAAAAATAATAATTTTAAGGAAAAAAGAAAATAATCAAAAGAATTTTTACAAAAATTTTTAATTAAAAAGTGAAAGGAGAATTGAAATTAATCCACAACTAGAACAGCACCTTCTGTAGTTTGAGGAACATTCAAAGTTAATCCAAAAACCTTTGCCAAAGATACTTTGAATACATTTTGGATATTAATTCCTTGAGAAGAAGAACAAAAGACACAAGAAGCTTTCATTGCTTGAGCATATTTAAGTGCAGTAGCAGTTATTCTTGATTTTTCAGTAGCATCAAGATCAGCAAATAAATCATATTTTGTTCCAACAAGAATACAACTTGCACTATTGTTATGTGCACGGGCTTCTTTGTACCAATCTTTTATGTTATTTAATGTCATAACCCTAGTTAAATCAAAAAAGAATAAGATAACTCGAGCTCCGTCCATAACCATTGGAAGCATTGTTATATATTCACGTTGTCCTCCTAAATCCCATACACTGAAAGTTACCTCTTTTCCTTTTAATGAAATCGTTTTTTCCATACAATTAACTCCTAATGTTTGGATATAATCTTCATCAAAATTTCCTTCAACATACTTAACCATAAGTGATGTTTTACCAACACCTGCATCACCTACCATTGCAATTTTTAATTTAATTTGTGACATCTAATATGATTATTAGAAGATAACTTTTAAAGTTCTTTTGTTTTTGAGACGTATTTTTTCTTTAAGATTTTCTTTAAGATTTTTTGCTTAAAAAATTATTGAAATAGAAAAATTAATTAACTTCTTTTGTAAATTCAATTCTATTCAATTTATGAATCTCTTTGGTTGTTTAAAACCTCAGTTAAATGATGAAGAAATAATTAATGACAAAAGTACTTCAAAAAGAAAATGGAATGTTGTTAAAGGATTTTTTATTGGACAAACAATTAGTATTATTAATGCATCAACTTATGCAATGACAAATTATTTAGGGCAAAAATCTTCTAGTGGAACAGCTATTATACAAACAATTAGTGTATATTGGTCATTACCAATTATATTAATATTTGTGTCTTTAAAATATGGAGCAAACTCAATAGTAGAATTTTTGAAATCAGTAAAGTGGTATTATTGTCTTGGAATTACACTCTGTGATATAAGTGCAACGTTTTGTCTTGTTATTGGTATTCAAAATACAAATATATTATCATCACAACTTATTAGTGTTTGTGGTATTCCATTCGTTATGGTTCTTTCATATTTTATTTTAAAACGAAGGTTTAATTTAATTCAAGTGTTTTCAGCAATAATCGCACTATCTGGATTTATCCTTGTTTCTATTGCTGACGGTCAAAATGGTTCATCAGAATTAATAGGTGATTTACTCTGTCTTATTTCAACAATTTTATATGCTATTGCAAATACATTACAAGAAAAAACAGTCAATATTATTTCTCCATTTTCTTCAATGAATTATATTATAATTTTATCTGTTCATGCTCCTCTTCTTTCACTCCCTACTTTGCTCCTTTTATTTTTCTTTCCTTTTGATTTTAATATTTCAGTAATTGAAATAACATTATTAATAGCTTATCCACTTCTTCAAGTAATTATTTATGCATCAATAGCTTATATTATTCTTATGACGTCTGCAGCATTTTTTAATATTTCAAATCTTTCATCTTCGATTTATGGATTAATTTATGATATGATTTTATTTAACAAATATCCAAGTGTCTTGTCAGTCATCGGAGCTTTATTAATTATTCTTTCAGTAATGCTTTATTCATTTATTGAATGTTTTTAGTAAAGTTCTAGTATTTTTATTAATACATTTATTTATTTTCTCTTTTTATCAATTTGTTTTGTGAAGGGAAAAACCTAAATTTGAAGTAGAAAGGGAATAGATATAGACAATAACAAAAATATAAATCTAAAAGTAGAGAGCGGAATCTTAGAAAAGCAAAAATGGCTGACGACATACCAACAGACCAGTTTTGTTGTATTGTTGGTTGTATAAACCAAGGCAGTGTCCCACTTAAAGAAGTTGAGGGAACGTTTCAGATTAAAAATGAGTTAGTCAATACACGTCCAATAAATTGGAAGTTGTGTGATGTTCATTTCAACTCAGCTATCGAAAAGATGGGGTGTTGTGTTATAGGATGTAATGAAAAAGCTTCTACATTTACTCTCCCCGAATATGAAAGTCATAAAAAAGATGATAATGTAGCACATAATCACATATGCCTTAAACACCATATTCAAATGACTAAAAATACTCTTAAACCAATTAAAAGACAATCAGAAGAACCTGACCAAAAGGAATTACCATTAAAAAAACGAAGTAGTGATAATAGTGATACAATCACTGATGATACAATTACAACTGAATTTCAAAATGGAATTGTTGTTGAAAAAAAAAATATTAAAAAAGAAATAGTAGAAGATGGGACTACTTTAAAGTCAGAAGAATCTAAAGAAACAATAACTCCAATAAATCAAACTGAAAACAATGAAAGTATACAAGCAATTAATGATAAAAAAGGAAGTCTTGATATAAAAAAATGTTGTTTCTCATATTGTACTGAAACTGCTATTGGAACACTCAAATTCATTCATCCACTTCAAATTCCTGTGTGTTATACTCATCAAAAAATTATTACTAAGTTGCTTAGAAAAGCATTATTAGATCAACAAATAGTTTTATCTACTTCAACTAATGAAATGATTGCTTCATGCTCATCAATTCATTTTCATCCATTATCGAATTATAAAAAAATTGGAAATGATGGAAGATGTGCCTTGTGCTTTGGGTATAATAACAAGAAACCAATTTATATTTGTTCTTCTTGTAGTAATGTTTTTTGTGCAGAATGCCAAAGGGTTATTGCTGAAATAACTAAAACAAATATACAACAACCATCTACACACTGGAAATGTTGTGTTTGTTGTACAAAAGGAATAAGAGAACGTGAGGATGTGTTAAGGAGAGAAGTTATTATTGTTAGAGAAGCAGCAAGTAAAAGGCTTAGTGTTTTTATCCAGAAAGAAGGTAAACAAGTTCAAGAAAAAATACAACAAGAAAAAGATAGAAGAATAGAAAAGATTGAAAAAAGAAAAAAACAAATCAAACGTATAATTAAGTGGTTTGATATGGTTTTTCCTAAAGCTGTTCAATTAAGATGGAAAACCCCAGATTGTACTTTAGAAAATAGTCCAAGTGAAGGTTGTTTATTCGTATTTTCTAAAACACAAACAAATTATTTTATTTCACATCAACCAATAACTGGAGAAACACTTATAGAAACACTTCATTCTATTGCTGAATCTACTAATAAAAGAGTTATTAAAGAAGTAGATAAAACAATTCCATTAAAGAAATTATTACTTGCTCATAGTAAAGAATATGTTGATATTCTCAAAGAAATTTTTAGTCAACAAGATGAAAGAACAACAACCATAAAACATTATCTTAATACAATTTTATCTGAACAATCATTTCAAAATGCTCAGTGTTGTTTAGCAGAATTTTATCTTCGTGTTTCATTAGAAATAGCACAAGGAGTTTGTGAAACATTAGAATTTCTTTCAAAAAATAAAAATATTAAATTTGCATATATTTTTACAGGAGCAAAAGGTGGGGTTGTTCCTTATCAAGGGTCACTTGAAAAAAAAGAAGGAGGAAAAACAGAAGATAGTAAAATTGTAATTAAATTAACTCCTGACGTTAAAGTTAATGAACAAAGTAAGCCTATTGTCATGATTATGAAAAAAAATCCTATGGAATTTCCAAATGGTATACAAGCTAAAATACCTGCTGATGTTATAATGTCTTCATATTTTATTAATTATATTGGACTAGGAGTAAAACATGCACTAAAAGTAATAGGAATAAAAAGAATTGCAGTCGTTGTATTAGGAGAGCTAGATACTGAAAGAGGAACAATAGAAATATTAAAAGAAGAAATTAAAAATAAAGAAGTGTTAATAGTAAAATCAGGAGAAGAATGGGCTGAAACAGCATTTAAATTAAGGGCATTTTCACCAGAGATAATATTTATAAGTTTCCATTGTGAAATTTGTAATTTTAATCCTAATGTTGATACTCGAATTAAAAAGGTTGCAAAAGAAATAATTAAAATGACAAAAACTGATGATGCTGTTGCACCTCCATGTCAAATAGTTACATTATTCCAACATGGAATAGTTCAAGATGTGAATTATGAAAAATATCGTTCAGCAATCAAATTGTTTATTGGAACATTAAATAATGATTTTTAAGCTGTCTAAAAGAAGAGTTAGACAGATTTGTATTCTTTTAAAGACATTTTTAACCCAATTTATTTGGTTCTATGTTGAATGGAATATAAAAAGCTTTTTATTGAATTTTTTATGTTTATAACACAAACAAAAAGAAAAGAACAAATAAATTCATTGGAACTTATATCCACAGCCAGCACAAAAGCGAACTTCAGAGTCTTTTCTTAATTCCCCACATTCAGGACAAACATCAGCAACCTTTCTATATTCTGCATTTATTCTTTCTGCATCTGACTGTCTTTTCTTTTTATAATATTGATTAAAACAAATATTATGCCAGTCTTTTCCTTCTGCTTGTTTTCGTTCAGCAAAATATACTGATTTTCCTTATCGTAAATACCTTATTATAACTTTATTAATTAATTCATAAAATAATTTAATTAACAAACCACATAAAGCACACTTCCAAGACATTATCTTTTTAAGTTCAAAAAAAATATCTTCAATTGATTGGATATTTTTATAGGTTAATAAAAACTATTTTTATATTATTCCCATCTCTTTGTTGTCGGTTGATTATCCTCTCATTTTCTTATGACTTTTTATGAAACTAAAATGACTTCTTCATTAAAAAATGAATTTAACCTTCAATACTTGAAACTTAATACCAATGGACTTTCTACTTCTCTCATAGCCTCTTCACCCTTTAATTGTCTAATAATTTCTAATGCAAATTCAATGGCTGAGCCTGGTGCTTGACTTGTAATTAAATGATTATCAACAACTACACGTTGATGAACTGCTGATTGGTTAGCAAGTTTTGGTTGGAATGATGGATAGGCAGTACACTTTCTTCCTTGACTATAAAATGAATATTAAAATAAATCATAGCTTCATAAACAGAAAATATGATAACAAACATTATTCCATTTCCTTCTAAAACAATAGCTGGTGATGCGCAAATAGCAGCAACAAATCTATTAGCTGCAAGTTGTTCTTTTATCTTTTGAATCAGTAATTGAGAGCCAGCCAAATTATCAGCACCTGGTAACCCACCTGGAATAGCAATAACATCATATTGTTCATTGCATTCAGAAAGAAATTTGTCAGCCATTATTTTCACCCCACGAGAACAAGCAGTTTCTAAATTAGAATTTATAGTAGCTGTAGTAACTTGAATTTTAGCTCTGGCAAGAATGTCGATAATGGTTACAGCTTCTAATTCTTCACTTCCATTAGCAATTACAACTAATGCTTTCATTGAAATAAATCTTTTAGTTCAAACAATATTTTAAATAACAAAAAATTAACATAAACTAACCAAAAAATTGTTATGAATTAGCAAAATTAAATTTAGATTTTTTTTTAATTAAAGAAATAAGTCAGTGAATAGTCTATATACGACAATAAAAGTGTAACTGTAGTAACACTGAAGAAAGATGAAAGGTTGTGTGATTCTACTAATGAGTAAGAAAGGTAAAGTGTACAGAATAAAGAAATGAAATAAAAAGAAAGACTTATTTTTATAGGATTCTAAGTTATTAATCTCTAATCATGAAAATAAAATCACAAAGAAAAAAACAAACATCAGACTTAATATGAGTTTTAAGAATAAGGTCTAATTGTATGAAAATTACTATAGATAGTATATACATTAATACTACTGTATAATAATTTGTAAAGAAGAATTGTATTGGAAAGATAACAACTAATTGAATGATTAAATATCGTGAAAATGAAAATAAAAGACTTGCAAGAACGAAAAGAATCCATTTTATACTATTAGCATGAGTTGAATGAATATTCGGATAATTAATATGTGAAGAATTGTCTATTAAGAAACAATAAAGGAGTGTACCATTTATGAAATTAAAAACACAAAGTTGCATTATAATGAATAAAATATGAGTTAAAACAGAAAAAGATTGCATAGATTCTGGTGTTAGTATATCTCTAATTAAATGACAAACTAAGATAATAAGTTGTAATAACAATAAATATAATGTTGTTTTTGATGGTGTTGCATGAGTTTTTATACAAGAACAATATAACCATGAAAATAATGGTGAAAATACTAAGAAAAATGTCATAATTCCAAAACTATTATTATCAAATGTTGCTTCATTACAAAAAGAAAATAATATAAAGAATATCCCAAGGGTTAAGAGAATTGATGAGCCATTAATTAACATAGCAAGTTGGAATGAATTTAATGGTTGTGTAATATTAATGTTTTGTGGTGAAAACTTATTAATGAAAGATAAAATAATGATGATAACAAAAATGGAGACAGACCTTATCAATAAAGTTGTGACAAATGAAGAATTATAAATGAATTGATAAGGCACTTCTTTGTCGCTGATTTGTAAATAAGAATAATAATATTGTGGTATTATATCTTTGTTTTTTTCTAATACATAACGTTGTTTACCATTTTGGTTACTAATAGAATATGGAGTAATTAATACATCATTAATTTGATATCTATTAGAAAAGATATCAAGATGAAATTCATTGTTAAGATAATAAATGGAATTCTCTTTATATCCTAAAGGTATACCAAGAACATTAGTATTACCACCTAGTCTTATCATGGAAGTTACTGGCTTACCTCCAACATTAAAATACAACCAAGTGTCATCATCAATTAGTTGTATTAAAGTGGAACTGTTAATACTTTTGCATTTATCTTTTGAATTTAATGGACGAACATTAATAGATTTACCAAGTGTAACAATAAAAGTCTCTTCTAACTGAATGCAAGGAATTACCTCTTCAATACTATATTTGGTTTTTGTCTTAAAAGAATAAGCATCAATAAATTTAACTTTTATTTCATCAAATATTGGTAATGAGGTTATTTGGTATGAGAAAAGAAATAAAAATAAGAACATCGAAGATAACACCATACTTCTGCCTTTTTTAGTTTTTATATTTTATTAAAAAAATAAAGAAAAATGAACCATTTTCAAAAATAAAATTGACAATCAATCACATTAAAAATCTTCTTCATCAAAATAACCATCATAAAACTGATGAATAATATCAGATGCAATCTTTTGTATTGATTGGGACAATGAAAATTCATCGAACGACAAATTATTAATCAAATTTACAGCATCTACTTCTTCAAATGAAACAGCAATTTCATTTTGTCCTTCATCATTAATCATTTCTTCACCTAATACCAACAACCTTCTTATACCTATCAATAAGTTCTCAATGAATTGTTCTCGATTTGTTAATTCAATTACAAGCAATTGTGAAATAAAATTATATAGTCCTTCTGTTTGAGAAATATAAGTTAATCCCATACTATCAACTTTTTCTAAAGCATTTATTAATACCCATCCACACTCAATTTTTAAAGGTGTAGACACAGTTGTGGCTCCTTCAAAAATAACTGAACGAAGTAACCCACTTGAGCAAACCATATTTGCAACATTTAGCGTAGCACAAAATACCAAATTGGATAAAGCCCATAACGCTGATCTTATTATTTCATTATCACGTTGGTCTAAAACATTTGCAATAATATTAAGAACATCATTTTCTATTAAAGACTGAATGAGAACATCAGATATAGAAGCAATAGAACCAATACATGAAATAGCAGCCAGACAAATATTATCATTTATTGACCTAGAATATCGAATTACAACTGGAATTAAGTTAGTAGCATAACGATAACAATTGTCATTATTTTCACATAAAGAAACAAAACCTGTCATTGCTTGTAATACTAAATCAGGATTGTCTTGATTGGAAATATTAAACAAATAATTTATAAATGGTTCTAATTGTTGTTCTGGAATTGATGGTTTAAACCTACAAAAATTACTAAATAACCATGCTATCTTTGATAAAATTTCTGGATCACTAACAGTTGGTACCATTGAAAGAATAAGTTTACCTGCATTCTCAAATATAATATTTCTAGTATCAACAGTTTCTGATGAAATATTACAATAAGTCCATATAATATCAAGTTGTAATTCAGGTTGATTTAATAATGGTAGAGTTGCTTCAATTATTCCATTAAATAATAATGCATTTACATGATGTCTTTCACAAGAAGAACAATTAATAACGACAAAAAGAATATCTTTCTTAGAATTAATAGGAATATTTGTTTTAAGTAATTCTATCATCTTTCTCATAACTCCATTATTAATAAGTAAATCATAATAATGTGACTCAGCAGCTTCACTTCGTTTTCCAAGAGCATTGCAAATTTTATGTAACATATGAAGAGTAGAAATAGTTGATGATTGATTATTTTGTTGTAATAATGTCATAGCAACATCAATATCATTATCATTAAGTCCTATAACTTGTAGTAGTGAGTTATTATCATCTAATCTTCTTTTCTTTTTTAACATTTCATCTCTCTTTTTTTCTCTTAGTCCATTAAGTCGTTGACTTCGTAGAGTACAAGCATCGTTGATATTTTGTTCATTCTTTCTAAACATTAGAATAATTAATTAAAAAAAATTGAACTTATTAAAGTATAAAACCCTATTTTGTTTTTTATGTTATTTTTTTGTTTTTCTGGAATTTTTGGGTCATAATAAAATTCATCATTTTTTATTTCGTTTAAACTATTTTATAATAAATTTAATAATTCTTTTCTTTTTAATTTAAAGAACTAAATATTAATTTAAATA